ATAAGGCAAGGATGCCCCCTGTCACCACTGTATTCAGCATAGTACTGGAAGCTGTAGCCAGAACAATTAGATAAGAAAAAGAAATAAATAAGTGGGATCTAATCAAATTAAAAAGCTTCTGCACTGCCAAGGAAACTATCATTAGAGTGAATAGACAGCCCACAGAATGGGAAAAAATATTTGCTCTCTACACATCTGATAAAGGGCTGATAACCAGAATCTATCTAGAACTCAAAAAAATCAACAAGAAAAAATCAAACAACCCCATCAACAAATGGGCAAAGGAAATGAACAGAAACTTTTCAAAAGAAGACAGAATAATGGCCAGCAAACATATAAAAAAATGATCAACATCTCTAATCATTAGAGAAATGCAAATCAAAACCACAATGAGATATCACCTACCCCCAGCGAGATTGGACTCTAACAAAAAAATCCCAAAACATCAAATGCTGGAGAGCATGTGGAGAGACAGGAATACTCTTCCACTGCTGGTGGGACTGCAAATTAGTGCAACCTCTGTGGAAAAGAATTTTAAGAATACCTCAGAGAGCTAAAAATAGAAATACCATTCAATCCAGCAATAGCACTATTAGGCATCTACCCCAAAGAGGACAAAACATTCTATGATAAAGACATCTGCACCCAAATGTTTATGGCAGCACAATTCACTATTGCAAGGATGTGGAAACAACCCAAGTGTCTGTCAATCCGTGAGTGGATTATTAAAATTTGGTATATGTATACAATGGAATATTACTCAATCATAAGAAATGACAGTGATCTAGAACCTCTTATACTTTCCTGGATTAAACTTAAGTCCATTATCCAACGTGAGGCACCACAAGAGCGGAAGAATGGGCTCCACTTGTACTCGCCATCAAATTCGTACTAACTGATCAACACTAGGGTGATCACATGGCAGAAATACTCTCCAGGGATTAGGGAGATTGGGGGGGGTGTTAAATTCACAACTAAAGGACCCGGGGAGTACTGTAGGGGGGAAGTGCATGCCTTTAACCCGCACTTGGGTGAGGCAAAGACATAAAGTGTAACCATAATGTTTGTACCCTCACAATACCCTGAAATAAAACAAAAAATCCAAATAGGCTAAATGATCCAATTAAAAAGCAAATACAATAAATGTTTACAAAGATAAAAGAAAAAGAAATAAAAGGCATCTGAATTGGAAAGGAAGAAATAAAAATATCTGTTTGCAGAGGACATAATCATACTTATAGAAAACCTTAAATATTCACAAAAAAATTGTTAGAATAAACAAATTTAGTAAAGTTGTAGGATACAAAATCGACCTACAAAAATCAGTGGCATTTCTGTACACTAACAATGAACTCTTCAAAAGGGGAATTATGCATGAGTTTTTAAAGGGTATGGGAACTATGGCCCTGTGTTCCTTGGCAGTGTCAATCCCTAGACCAATTTATCTAATCTCTATCTTTAGCTTACAGTGGACAATTTGATTCTATTCCAATTGTTATATTCAATGACATCAAATCAGAGCTATTTCCCATCCTGATTTCTGATTACACAGAACCCGTTTTATATTTTCTGAAATTTTCCTGTCCTTGGAATGAATACACAAAGAGGAGAGTTGCAATTTCTAAGAAGTCTTGTAAGTCTCATCAGTGTAGTCACTCATGTTCATTTCTATGTGCAAAAAATAGGCTTCACATTGTTTTGTAAGATCCTGGCCTATCTATGGACATTTATCTTTTGGTGTCCTAGCTTTTCAGCTTTGAGAAAGGTGTTTATAGAGAAAAACATTCTCTCTTAATCTTAACCTATTGTTAGGGTTTTAGGAGGTTAAGAAATTATATTCCTTTTTTCCTACATGAATTCTGAACAAATAGAGAGACAAAGGAGTAAGACAGAGGGAGAGGGAAATTTCCAGCAATGATACTTACAGAGCTGATAGAGAATATAGCTTAGATACAAGAATACAACAGATTCCCAATGCTGCAATCTAAAATTAGACTTATCTAACTATTCAGAATACTAGAGTGAAGCATTCCCTTATATTTTCTATTAAAAACATAAAATGGGAAAAGGGACAGTCTTCAAAGAGGTTTTGAAGAAGTATACAGGTATCACATTTTCTCCTCCTTCAATTAAGTTTATCTTCTGCTAGAGTCTTTTAGACTTTAGTATAACTTGATTAAGAAAAATAGACAAATTTCAAGTAAATTTCACCTCCTCTTAGTTATAAAATGAAAACAAACAAATAAAAAACACAACATGGCAATGCAAACTTGCTTAAGGGGAGGATATCTGACTCTATGTCACTACCTTGGATGTGCTCAGAAGCTTCCATCTTCAATTATAAGAAGTATAAATGGTACTGAGTAGATTAGGCCCCGAAGGTCCAAATAAGTTGCTTATGCAATTTCTCTGAGCAGTCTTTTTTCAACCAACACCTATGACTTGAAAGGGATTTCTCTATGAATAGTTGACTGAGGGGGCAGGGATATTTCACCTGGCTTACTCATGGCTCTGTTGATGTATTGATACCAATTATACCAATACATCTCAGAGGGATGCCCTGAAGGGAAGAGAATGGGATTCGTCTCAGGAGACAGAGTTCAATCAACCTATCTGGTTGTTTTCTTTCCCATGGTTAATACTTGTATGAATTTCTTGGGAGTGGCTACTATTCTGTTCTAATAGGCACTCAGCAGGGGCAAGATGGGGGTAATGGGGATGAGTTCTTTGGGGAAGAACTATGTAACATGGTAGAATTTTTCAGGGTCAGTTTGGAGCAAGAGAATTATTACATCCCATAAGAATTCTCTCCAAAATGCTCTCATATCGAAAGATTTTAATGATCACACAGACAGGATGGTCTGCTCTGAAGTTCTTCCTCATCCTTCTGAATACTTGTGTGATGGCTTCATAAACAAAGTGAACAGTGGGGCCAGATGGAGTCTATGTATGGGCTGAATAGCCTGGACTTCTCACGAGTCTGTCCTGGCTACCACCCCTGTTAGAGACCAAATTTGCCAGTGTCAATAACCAACCTCAGCCCAATATAGTACTGAGTGCTCCTGTATCTGAGGCATCCCACCACCAGGTGGTGGTAGATGGGCCCTTTCCATCATGGAGGGAGTAGCTATTTGTCATCATTGAAAATGACATATTCTGGATTTGAATTTTCTTTCCCTTGCTATCGTCACTGTCCTACCACCACATTCCTTAAATTACCTGAATGCTTTATGTATTCCACAAAGAAAAGAATGTGTTTTCCAAGCAAGGAAGTCACCTTAGTGCTAGTGGTGGGCCCCGTGGAGAGTGCCAATGCCCATGGAATTCAGCGGCCTTACCATATGCGCCACTGTCTAGAATCAGCTGGCCTTATACAATATCAGAATGACCTATTGAAATCTTAGCACCAGCTCAAGCTGGGACACATCTTCAGAGGCTGAGGTGCTCGTCTGAAAAATTAGCTCAAAACCACTTGTTTCTCCCTGAAAGAAAATTTTAGTTAATAAAATATGTGAACTCAAAGTTCTCACAATTACACTCAATAATTCATACTCCCTAACTGGGCTATAAGACTCTAATAGTGCCCTTGTAGCAGCCACAGGTTGAACTCTTTAAAATTGTTCTTGTTTTTGTTTTTTTAACCCTAAGTCAACTAGCCAAAGGAAACTCTTCATGAAAACTATCAGTTAAAACTCTCAGATGATAACCGAAGCAGCAGAGATAAGATGAAAAGAGAATGAAGGAAGAAAGAAAAATGCTGAAGTGAGGAAGTGGAGTTCCTGGACTACCGGCATAATATAAAGGGCAAACATGTATTAGGAAAGTCTGTCCTGGATTCCCTGTTTATCTGCTGGGTCATAAGTCCCAATACTTTTTTTCCAGAATTTTACAAGAGTACACACATTTTGGTTGCATAATTTGCTCTTGTACAGTTTGAGTCAAAGTTACAAATGTGCCCTTCTGCCAGTTAGTGTGCACTGTACCCATCAGGTGTGAATTTAACCATCCCCTCCTCGCCTCCCACCTACTTGATTTCCCTTGAGTTTTACTTTCATATGTGCATTTAAGTGTTGATCGATTAGTTCCAATTTAGTATTGAGTACATGTGGTGTTTGTTTTTACCTTTGTGTTAACTTCTTGTGTCTCAAGTAAACATCCAGAATCCTGTAAAATTAATGACCAGAATCTATCTATGAGATAGTTGAGAGCTGGGCAAGGAGAAACTAAGTGCAATGTCTCCCCTCACCTTTCCCCTCACCTATACTTTTTTTTTTTTTTTTTTTGAGACAAAGTCTCACTGTGTTGCCCGCGCTAGAGTGCCGTGGCGTCAGCCTAGCTCACAGCAACCTCAAACTCCTGGGCTTAAGCGATCCTCCTGCCTCAGCCTCCAGAGTAGCTGGGACTACAGGCATGTGCCACCATGCCCGGCTAATTTTTTCTATGTATTTTTAGTTGTCCGATTAATTTCTTTCTATTTTTAGTAGAGACGAGGTCTTGCTCTTGCTCAGGCTGGTTTCGAACTCCTGAGCTCAAACAATCCGCCCGCCTCGGCCTCCCAGAGAGCTAGGATTACAGGCATGAGCCACCGCGCCCGGCCTACCTATACTTTTATTTAGTCACTCTTCATCAGACTTCCTTTTACTTACCCAAAGCTCATGTTGTCTAATTTGGTGTGTTTGGTAGGGGTTTTGGTGCCCCAAATGGCCTATGGAGTGGCCTTTTTTCAATAAGTCAATTATCAATTTGTTGGAGAAAACATAATCCCTACTTTATAAACTTCAACAGCCTAAGGAATTTTGAGTTTTTCATCCTCATCTATAGAGGAAGAAGTGTTGTTATGAATAGTTGCAGTGAAGATATGTACAAATAACTGCTCAAGTACCCTTTCTGTTTAGCAGAAGTAAGACAAGTGAGCGTGGTCCAATTCAAGGAGTCAATCTGGATTTAATTCTGAGGCTAGACATTGGAAATGCCATGCCACATGGTCCAGAACTCATGCCTCAGTTGTTTTGGATTACATTTTCAATCCAGTTTACATAGTTAAAGAGTTTGGCATAGATGCCAACATCAGCTCTCAAAATACATCCATCTGCAAAAGACATGATTCCTTGAAGTATCCCGTTGCAGACTGCCAGGGCAGCTGAGACTTCCTGCCAGAGAAAGGGAAACCGGGTTATCTTTCTGGCAAGATAAAAGGAATAAAATGGGGAAACGAAAGCATTGAGAGTATGTTACCCTGCAGGGCTCCCTCCTTCCTGGCACGATGCCCACGCACAGCATGTTCTCCCTGATGTCGTAGGTTTTATAGGCATTACGACATTCACCTCGGGAGATTACAGAAACTTCCACAGTTTGCAGTAAGTCGGGCTCCGTGGCTAAAGAAAAGAGAGAAGTGAAATTTCCTCGAGTGTTTTCTTAAGTATCAAAGCTTTTTTTTCTTTCTTTCTCTCTTTTTTTTTTTTTAAACATATTTCTCCTTCTACCATCAGAAAGAAAAAGAGACCAAACACTGAGAGAAATCAAAATGCGGCAGTCAGGACAACCTGGGTGAAGGAGATTATCAGATTAACAATTGCTCATGATATAAATGTTTGTCTACTCGTAAAAGTGATTAAATTCTTGGGAGTTAGATGAAAATATGAGACATCCCTACAATGAAATGAAACAAATTGTTTTAAAATATTCTGGAAATTTAAACATTTAAAGGGTGTCCTCTGATATGGAATTCTTAGAATTCAAAGGAATTTAGACATATCTAGCCCAGTTTATCATCTGTCAGATCAAAACAAACCAAGTATCTGCTTAAAAATACCTCTACAAGTAATTTTCTTAAACTTAGATGACTAGTCAGTGGTAAAACTAGGATTTAAAACTGGGTTTTCTGATTCCCAGTTCAAATTCTTTCCTTTATATCAATGGTCCACAAATACTGTGAATTGTGCACATTCATAACAAAGTTTCTTCAATCTGAAACAAACCGAGAACAGTAAGAAGAAAGTAGTACCTATATATGTGGTAGGTGCTCCTGCCAAGGATTCTTCTTTGGGAAGAACTATTATATTTTGAGATTTTGTTTTTCTTACTGGAGATGTATATTTACTATAACATCTTGCTTTGAAAATAATACATTAATTCTTGAAAAGAAAATGTTTGAGATACTTGGCTTTATTTTCTAATCCAATGATAATTTCATGGTTCCATCTTTCTTGTGGGGATATTCCCTTAGGGGATGCTTACTTAACTACTTCATAATCCAGGTCAAAATAAGCTGCATTTTTTTTGATAATCATATCTTTTTTTGACCCAAGTGACATAACGCAGATGAATCGAACATGCTGCTCACCAGAAGGACATTTGGCTATTTCCAAAAATCAAATTTACTCTCAAAGGACAAATAATTTCTACTTCTCGATATATTCAAGAAAATGTGCCCAAAGTCTGAAAGCATTTACTAAAGAGCAGTTTAAAAAGGATTCAGTAATGGCAACAATGTTAGAATAACTGTATAACTCCCCCTGGCTTCTATAAGAAGAAAATAGAGATGGATGAATGAATATAATCTGACACACTTGTTTAAAATGAATCTCCTTTCCATACTATGGTGTCTAGTGTATGATGTATATTATACATACTCAAATAAACTTACTCATGAGTAAAGTTGCATTGGTAATTTTTCACAAGGAATTATATCATTGTTCTATTTTGCTTATAGGTAATCAACTCTCCTTCTCCAGGACTCACTACTATTTTAATTAACAGACACAGACAGTTAATTAGGATTTGCATGAAAATTTTGAGATGGAGTAGCAGGCAGATGGGAATACAACTTAGAAAACAGAAAGATGCTTTAACTTGCTCAAAGTTTTTTCATGGAATCTGAAATATGAGACATAGAAGAAAGCTTAGATAGAATATCTCATTTAGTAGTTTCAAATTACATATCAAGGACTTCTACTAACAAAAATAATGGTAGCCCTCTGTCAATTTTCTGAAAAAATGAGTGAATGTTTAGAATGCTATTTGTTAAAAATGTTTCTTTCAGAAATATTTTTCTTAAGGTTTTAAGTGTGTATTTCTATGACAATCTTTTGTAAGGTAGTTTCATCTGATTTAACACAATATTACGAATTTATCTTATGTTTAACATATTAATATTTATTTTGTGACATTTCAAGGATTTAAGTTGCTTTATTGCCTGAAATGGTTTGAAAACATCCTGTATAGTGTTCTGCCTCATTTTATTTTATTATTTTTTAAAATTTTAGTTAGAGTTAAGGAAATAGAGGCTCCAAGGTGAAATGACCTGAGGTCATATAGCAAATTAGGGTTAGAATACAAATGTTTTCTTTCCACTAAAACCACTTCATCATATATGAAAGTAAAGATGATAGAAAGATAAGAGTGAGTGAAAAAAAAAAAAAACTTTGAAGGACTCCCTCAGTGAGGTACAAGGAAAAGGAAAGGAGAGGAATAGGATAAATAAAGAGGTTAGAAGAAAGCCTCAGTGGGCAGAATTACAAAAGCCAAGAGTCCAGAAGGTATAGAAGCATGCCTGATTCTGACAAAAGAATGTTGTCTTGAAGTCAACAGACATCACATGTATCTTGAACTCACACACATCACATATGTTGTAGCTCCAGGTGGAGACATTGCACATGGTGTTCACAGGGACAGCTTGGTAGGGCAGGTCGATCAGTTTCACATGGTCGTTGAGTTCAACTTCTCTTTGCAGCTTGATTAACATGATGTCATAGTCAATGGAAGTGACGGAGAATTGTGGATGATAAATCAGCTTCTCATAGTCCAACACTTGCAGGTGGCTTTCACTGAGGTCTGATGGGATTGTAATCCCAAATATCAACTGAAGCTTTCTGAAACAATATGGACATTGATGAGAAGATTTAATGTAGATGGCTTCTCCACCCTCGTGGGCCTTTATTGTCCCGTCCCACAGACTTTTTAGTCTACCCTTGAACATGCTCCAGAGACTTTCCTGATCCCATTTAACTGGGAGATGGTCCCAGGCCAGAATCAAGGTCTGTGCCCAATCTGAGAACCCAAAGAGTAAAGTGGCTTTGGGGGCTTATCACTCACGGCAAGTTGCAGTGTGCAGCTGTGACCACCCATAGAGGATGGATCAGGGCTCCGGCGCAGGGCAAGTAATCGGATTTCAGGTAGACCAAGTAGGGGGGAGTGTCAGCAACTATGTAATCTGGATTAAAGGCCAAAACAACTGAAAAGAAAGGCATGGGCAAGAAACTCTGAGGTTTTTTAGTCAGTCATCTTTAGAAAAGCTAAAATCAAGTCATTTAATGTGGTCCAACTTTCCTCCGTCCTTTTCTCCAGCACATTTGTCTGTAAACTAAATCTATAAAATGACCTTGTTTTAAAACATGAAGAAAATGATAAATGGTAGAAACACATCTGTTTCAAAAAGTAAAAGGTATTTGTCTTTTAAATGGTCAATAAATATTCTTCAAATTAAAATATAAACTTTTTAAAATACTTTCCACAATGCAGCAGGTTCTATGTTAAATCAATTCTTCTTCTTCTTTTTTTTTTTTTTTACATTTTTGCCAATTTTAGAATGCTTTGACAAATCTTATCTTTTTGTCCTACAACAGCTCAAGGCAGAATGATATAAGTGCCATTACAAGAACAGACCAAATGCTAACATAGTCTGAGGAGGAGGGAAATCATTCATTCACTCAACAAGAAAACCACTGGGCACCTGGTATGAGCCAGGCTCTGTTTTAGGGACTTGGGCTAGAGAGTGAACAAAACAGGTATCTCTGCTCTCGTATATTCCAGTGAGTGGAGACGTTCCATAATAATTAACACAATCACAGCTAAACTCTATAGCATGTTTGATGGCGATCACTGTTACAAAAAAAAGGGGAGTAGAGGGAAAGGTATTGCCAGGATGTGTGTGTGCACACGTGTGCGGTGAGGCCCCATGCAGTCTTACATCAGCAGTCAGGGCAGACCTCACGGGCAATGCTGAATAATAACGTGAAGTCAGGGAAGTTCAAAGGTCAGGTGTCTGGGGTAAGGGATCCCAGGTGGAGGAAAGAGTGGGAGCAAGAGTCCTAAGGCCTGTTTAAGTCACATCTCAGAGGCCAGGTGGCTGACCTGGCGTGAGTGAGAGGGAGCAGAGTGGGGACGGGGGCCACCGACATGATGGAGGGTTTTGTAGAGCATTAGAAGAACTCGGACTTGTCTTCGGAATACGATGTGGAGTGACTGCAGGGTTTTGTGCTAAGGAATGAGGACAGTTTCCTCACTCTACACCTGTAGAGTGTAAAAAAACTGAAGTGGAGGGGCCTGTGAGGAGATTCATTTGATAATGCAGGCAAGCAATGATGGCTTGGACCATAGTGAGCTGTCGAGGTGGTGAGATGTGACTGTATCTGGGATAGGCTTAGAAGATAAAAACCAGAAATATTTTCCTAACAGAATGAATGTGGGGTGTGCGAGAAAGAGGATTTATGACTAACGCCAAGGTTTTTGCTGAGTAACCGGAGCCATGCAGGGGATATCTAACTGTCCAACACGTGGCCATGCCCTCCATTGTGCAGAACAGCATCAGACAGGAGTGGGGCCGGTATGAGGGTGTCAATGTCCATGCCCCCCCAAAAGCACACCAGCAATCGCCTGAGGTGGGGCAGGCAGGCACTGTCACAGGAGGAAACGTGTCAGGGACAGTGGCAGTGGTGAGGGACAGAGAACCAACCCTACACTTGAAGTCCAGGATGGTGCTTCTTGCCTTCCCCCATCTTTCATGCTTCCCCAGGGCTTCTCTTTGGCAAGTAAAGAGACAAATACGCAGACACTCACCAGGCAGGTTCAGGAGAGCCCAGAGGGGGACGAACTTCATGATGATGCTGGAAGCCTTTTCAAGGGGTAAGGTTTGGCTCAGGATTTCTGGAAAACATGGAGAGGAGAGTAGGAGAAGGACTAAGTAAGATAAGGGCGAGAAGAGGTTCCAGGGGTGGAAAAAAGTATCATTCGAATTCTTTCAGTGTGAGGGTTCAGTTTTAGAAAAGGTGCCCGTCAGAGAAGGGGATGGAGCCAGCTGTCAGAGGGGTAAGAACAGAGGTCAGGGGACTCAGTTCTTGACACAGTAGAAAATGGTTCTGGAATTCTGAATTCTGCCCTCCCTCCTCAGGGAAGAAAGTACCTAACCTGAGAGAAGCAAAAGTTTACAATGTCTCCACAGCCTCCTCCTCTCTGGTCTCAGGTTTGTCAAGCTCTGAAGGCAGGTCCCTCTCTGGGCTGTGTGTAGGATACTGCCCTTCCTGTCTGTGTGATGCGAACCCTCACCTGTGTGATGCTGGCATTTTCCTCCAGTGGACATAACCCAACCCTCTGCCTGACACTGAGCTCCTCTTTGAAATACATTAGTCCTTGCCCTCATGTCACCATTCATCCATTTATTCATCGAACCAACCAACAAATAATGCATATGCTGTGTCTAACTTGTGCTAGGACCTGTGCTTGCTGTGGGGATGCCTGAATTTAAAGACACCATTCCTGCCTTCAAAGAGCTTATAGACTAGTGGGAATGATAGATATTTAAGCAGACAGTTACAAAACGAAGTATTCTAGGTATGCCACGGACTAGGTGAAAATATTTGCAAAACACATATCTGCTAAAGAATTTATAAATAAGGAAATATTAAAACTTAAAAATAAGAAAATGAACAACACAACTTTATAAGTGAACCAAAGACCTGCACAGATACCTTACCAAATGTTTTAGTCTGCTTGGGCTGCCATAACAAAATACCACAATCTGCGTGGCTTAAGCAACAGATATCTATTTTCTCACAGTTCTGTAGCTTAGATTCCATGATCAAAGCGTTGGCAAACTCAGTTTCTGGTAAGAGCTCTCTTCCTGACTTGTGAAGGCCACCTTCTTGTGTCCACACATGGCCTTTCCTCTGCACATGCACAGGGAAGGAGAGGGAGACAGTTCTCTGAGGTCACCTTATAAGGACACTAATCCTGTCAGATCAAGGTCCCACTCTTCGAAGCTTGTTTAAGCTTAATTACTTTGTTAAAGGTCCTATCTCCTAATATAATCACATTGGGGTTTAGATTTTCAAAGATACGAATTTTGCAACGGGGGTGGGGGGGCAATTCAGTCTATAATACCTGGGAAGATGCACAGATGGCAAACAGCATGTGAAAAGATTCTCAATATAAGATGTCATTAGGAGCTAGAACACATTCTGCTAAGTGAAGTATCCCAAGAATGGAAAAACAAGCACCACATGTACTCACCATCAAATTGGTATTAACTGATCAACACTTAAGTGCACATATAAGAATAACATTTATTGGATGTTGGGCGGGGGTAAGGGGGAAGGGGGGAGAAGGGGACGGGTATATGTATACACAAAGAGTGTGATGCACACCATCTGAAGGATGGACACGCTTGAAGCTTGGACTTGGGTGGGGGACAAGGGCAACATACGTAACCTAAACATCTGTACCCCCATAATATGCTGAAATAAAAAAAAGATGTCATTAGAGAATTACAAGTTAAAACAACAAGATGCCACTATACACCTAGCCGAATGGCTAAAATCCAAAACACTGACAACCACAGATGCTGTCAAGGACGTGGAGCATCAGGATCTGATGTCGGTGGGGATTTATTGCTAATGGGAGTGCAAAATGGTACAGTCGCTTTATAAAGTAGTTTGGAAGTTTCTTACAAAGCTTAATGTAGCCTTACCATATGATCCAGCAATCAGACTGGTATTTACTCAAATAAGTTGAAAACATATGTCCACCAAAAAACCCTACACATTAATGTTTATAGCAGCTTTATTCATAATTGCTAAATCTTGGGGGAAACCAAGATGTCCTTCAATAGGGAAATGGATAAACAAAGCATGATGCATCCGTATAATGAAATACTATTCAGAGATTTTAAGATTTAAAAAAAATGAGCCATCAAGTCATGAAAAGACATGGAGAAAACTTAAATACATATTGCCATGCAAAAGCACCTAGTTTGAAAATATTATATACTCTATAATTCCAATTATATGACATTGTTGATAAGATAAAACTATAGAGATACTAAAATGACCAGTGATTGCCAGGATTTGGGGAGGAGAGAGGGATGAATAGGTGGAGCCCAGGGGATTTTTAGGGTAGTAAAGTTATTTTATATGATACCGGAAAGGTGGACACATGACATTATACATTTGTCGAAACCCATAAAATTGTACAACATAAAGAGTAAACCCTAGTATAAACTGTGGACATTAGCTGATAATAACATGCTTATACTGGTTCATCAATTGCAGCAAATGTACCACACTGCTGTAAAGTGTTAGTTAAAAATAGATTTCTCAGTGGTAGAATCTAAGTGGTGGACATGCATGTGTGCACTGTAAAATACTTTCAGCTTTGTTGCATGCTTGAAAATTTTCATAATAATATGTTGGGGAAAAAATTTAAAAATTGAGGTATATGCCTTAGGGTTCAAGATGATTTTCAGTGTACACTGTGTGTTAGAAAGGGGTCCCCAGGCATTACCCTTGACCTGGGGCTTAGATGCAGGGAGGGAGCTCTCGTAGGGTTAAAAGGAGAGAATAAAATAATCCAAGGAGAGGGAAGAGGTTCAGTCACAACAGGAAGACACAAAAGGACACAGTGTGTTTGTGGAATTATACCCAAGTGCAGGTGGGGAGTGTTAGGAGCTAGGTGAAGAGATAAGTGGAATCCAGTAATGAAGGCTCACCCTGTAAGCCTTGCACAGGTCAGACTCACATAAGTCTTCATCAGGTAGGAGAGAAGGAGCCAAGAATTCTGTTATTTGACAAAAACCCATTGAGTTGTTATGGGGACAGATCATAGGCCCTATGTCTCTGCCCTATGTAATCGCCTTCCCTTGAATGTGGGCAGGACTCTGACTTGCTTCTGACTAATAGAATGTGGCCAACATTAATGGGGTGTCACCTACATGATTATGTTAATATATAACAGCAGTTTATCTCTCTCTCTCTCTCGCTGGCATGCAGAAGAGATTCTCTCTTCTGGTTTGGTGAGGTAGCAGGTATGTTGAGTAGGCCCAGGTGTTGGCAGCCTCTATGACCAAGGACAGTTTGAGGACCTGAGAGCAGCTTTCAGCTGACAGCAATCAAAAAGCCAGGCCCTGTACCACATAAACACAAGGAGATGAATTTTGCCAACAACCTGAATAAGTGCAGGAAAGATTCTGCCCTTGCAGCCTTGCTCGACTCTAAGGAGAGGACCCACTTAAGCTCTGCCTGGACTCTTGATCCATGGAAACCGTGAGATAATAAATGTGTGCTGTTTGAAGCCATTACATTTGTGGTATGTTTTTACACAGCAATAGAAAACTAATATAAATGTACGCTGCGTGCTGGCACTTAATTAGATATTGATGATTTCACGGTAAGGGAGCTGAGAATCTTGTTCTCAGACATCCTAAAGTCTCATGAAGAAGACATGTAACACAGGTTACCATGACGAACGTCACAATGTGGGAGGTAAAGAAACATGCAGCAGGGGCCCTAAGGTAAGGGCCAGAAGACCTTCTTGAGCCATGAATGACGAGTAGAAGTTGGCCAAACGGAGAGATAGCGGAGGTGACTCTGGGAGGATGGACCAGGGCTCCAAATAGAACAGCGCACGGGAAAGAGGGTATGAAGAGAGAGGCTGGCAAGAAAATGTCAACAGGAGGATCGTACAGAACAGACCTTTCAAGAGTTGTCATATAAGAACTGCCTGCCAAGGAGACAGGGGAGGCAACCAGAGAGTGGCTCGAGGCAGTGTCCCCGAGTTCTGTTTTTAGATGATTGAGGTGAGATATGCTTAAATGATGACAGGAAGAAGCAATGCAGAGGGAAACAGGAAATACAAGAAAGTAGAAAGAAGCAATAGGGCAAGTCCATGAGGAAGTCAGGGGCGTGGGGTCCATGTCACCACGTTACAAGTGGATGTAGAGGCCTCTTTTCCACTGTGGCAGAAATGGTGAATAGAAAAAGAGGAAGGAGAAAAAAATTAGGTATGTTTGCAGGTTTGGCAATGGCAGGTTGAGCAGAGTAGCTTGAGGGTTTCAACCTCCCTCTACCCCTAAGCCAGAGGTCATCTGCCGAAAGTAAGCACTGAAAGTCTGAGGAGAGATGAGGGGTTCGAAATGGCTACTGCGGAGAATTACGCAGACCACTGACTGGGATGGCGTAGGATTGTCAGTAAGTGCTGAAGACACAAATCAAGAATTACAAGAATTAATCAGCTGAGCACTTTATAAAAAACTCTGGCACAAGTACAGATGTGATTCATTAAGGGGGCAGGGACCTGGAGAGAGGATGTGGGGACCTACCGAGCATGTGGCTGCAAGACCAGCAAACCAGGGGCCTGCGGTGTGGATGCGGCCACACATTACTGGGGATAGAGGCACACTTCAATTACGCGGTCTCAGCCTCTGGTTTTGAGAACAGAGACAATTTTTGCTTATAGGTCAGAACAAGCTTCAGATCTTAGCCACAGCTAAGCTCTGTTTGTTTTTTGTTGTTTATTTTTTAATTTATTTTTGCTTTAGGAGAAGAGAAAATACATCCGGGAACAGAGTATTATCAATGTCCCCAAATCAACCCACCTCTGCAGCCTTTACAGATACCCTGGATTCACTGCATCTCATGTGGGATGTCCCCAAACCTCCTCATGCCTTCCACAGCCAGTTTCTATCCCCATCTCACTGGCCCTGTCTGTCCATCTTTGCTTTTTTTAACAGAAGCTCCCCACGTCATATTGTCCCTCTCCTACATGTTGCTCCACGGTCCCTCATATATCACTCAAACCCGCAACTTGTGGGTCACTCAGAATCCTCTTAACTGTCTTTGTTTTTCAGTATCCGGGTCAGTGGGTCTGGGATGCTGCATGTCTCTGTGCGGAATGCACAGCTGTTCCCAGTGGCAGAGAGCCCTCCCAAAGCCTGCAGCTAATCCATCAATGTGGGACTCCTACTTCTCAGTTACTCCCCAGATAGTGTCTGTGCTCCAGATCCTTGCCTCCAGCTGCCTGCTAGAAATCACCACCTGCACGTCCTTCCAGGATCTCAGATATAGCAGGCCACACCTCTCCTCATTGCCTCGCACACAAATGCACTGTTATCCTCAGGTTCTCCTCTACGATCCCCGTCTACCCAGTTGTCCAAGCCAGAAACTTTGGGGTTATCCCTGATACCTCCCTTTCTTTTTCTTCCCTCAGTAGGCAGTAGGTCCAGATCTTACAGAGGTTGCTTCTTTAGCATCTCTCAATTCAGAAACCTGACGATGCTGTGTTTACTAGGAAGGCTTTGACGACACCCCCTCCAATGCCTAAGAGATCATACGGATTCCTTTACAGAGCAGGGAAGGCCCTGCATCATCCTGAGTTTGGCTACCTGTATAAAACTCATTTTTTGTTACATTCTTTCTCCTCTACAAATTATTTTCTACCCTCCAGTATTACTTATTTACATATATTCTCCTGAACATGCCACACTATTATATGCCTTTTTTGCCTCTTAGTAAACTATGTCTTCAGTTTTATAGTCTCCTCCCATGACCCATCTGCCTCTTTGGTGATATCTGTCCTGACTCTACCAGTGTTTTATTAATATCTTATTCTCTCATGGAGCTTCTTGCTCACTTCCGTTGTCGCAGTTGTCACAGGTATTATAATTGGATACCTGATGGCAAAGGTCGTGTCATACTCACTCATGTGTCCCTAGCAAATTCAGTGCCTCCTAAGTAGCTCACAGTTCAATAATTTTTGAATGAATGAATGAACGAATGAATGCATAGTGGGGATGTTGCTAAATTCCTTGCCATTTTCAAAGTTTACATGGTAAAGAGAGCAGGCATCATGGCATGGGTGCTTAGTGGCTTTGTTTTATTGGGTGCTTTCTCTTTGGATTTTGTTGAAGAATAAGAAAAATGAAGACAGCTGTGCATCCTGTGTAGAAATGATGCAGAGACAGCACTGAGGGGACGGGGGACAGAGGCGCCTCAGTGGGTGTTCATGATTTGTAGGATCCATCTTCCATAGTTGTGAACACTTGTGAAGAATCCTTCACTTCCCAAGGTGACACTTCCTTTTGCCCAGGACAAGATTCCATGTAACCTGCCACCGCAGATGGCTGGAGCAGCTGAAACTTCCTTTTAGAGAGACGGAACAGGAGGTCAATGAGGCTTGTCTTCATGGAACAAGAGTAAATCCCCAGAAGTGGCACATGACAGTAGCAAAACCATCTAAGAGAGTGGACTTATTTTTCTTGAGAGGTGATAACCCTCTCTTCACATCTACATAAGTCTCACCTCTCTGGGTTCAAGCTTCACCCACCCTGAGTGCGAGGAATAGGACAGACGCTTCTACCCCAAATCTCTCCCGCTGTAACTGTGGGGAAGGAAACTGTTTACAAACCCAGAGATGAGAGGAGAGGGGAAAGGGACTTCAGTTCTCTGCTCCTCTCTCTAGGGAGGACTTTTTGGATGAATGCCCTTTGATTCTCCACTGTCAGCTCTCTCACCCACGTGCCCCACGCTGTTCTCCTGGATGGAGGAGAGAGATACCTTATGTTTAGACATGGTGCTTAGAGGTTGTCCCACACACATGATGGTCTGTGCCAGTCCTTGCTGGAGTCTATCCTGGCAGTCGTGAAAGGGAAGAGAGTATTGGTTTATCCATGTCAGGATGTCAGGGTCACTGACTGTGGGAAAGAGAAGACAATTAAACTTCAGAGTTACTCTCCTTATCACAAGGGCTCCTGTGATCAACTCCTATTGTGTAAATAAATTAATTTCTGAGGGTATTCAGCCTGGGTAGCAGCTGACATTCCATCCTTCTTGGGGTTCCTAGTTCAGTAATCTCTACTGAACATGGAGAAGTAGGTTCACGAATCCTCTTCCGTGAGACGTCCAATCTACAGTTTTCTGTATTATGCATAATTGATAAAACTTTGAATAAACTGTGAGAAAATTATGACTGGCCACAAGGAGAAAGAGACAGTAACAAATCTATTGTCCCAAGAACCACGCCCCCACCTCTTTTGAACATCTACTTTATCCTCATTGCATTTAATCATGAAGGCAGAAACTATTTTTAGTATGTATAAAACTGCATTTTAAATTAGACTATTTATAAATGGATTATTTGTAAGTGTTTGTGTGTATATATATTATATATATATATTTTCCACTAAGAGGTCATATTTTCACCTCCATCATAGCGATTGTTATTATACTATCAACTTCAGTATACAGGAATTCTAACCAAGGCATTATGTAATTTTAATTTCTGGTAAAGAGCAGCAAGGAGGAAGAAAACAAAAAATTGACCAGAGATGGCTCAAGCTAATTTAAAATACGTGTAACAAGCTAGGCTAAAATAACTTGCTACTTGAAATAATGAATTCCTAATAAATATTGGGAGTCCTGCCCCAGAAAGCACATAGAGGTATAGTTTACCACTATGATTCTGACATGCAGAGCCTATACAATAAAATATTTGTATGGTTTTATTTTGTTTTCAAAGGGTATGTAATCAATTACTTTTGTAAAGTGTGATGCAGTTACTTTGAATAAGACTTATAAAGCCAAGGACAAAAATCATACAAGTTGAAATTTGTTCAGAAAATATATTCACTTAGATGTCCAGGTACTTTGCTTCTAAATTGAAAAATGAAGTTGTAAAGTACTGAGATTATAAAAGTGTATGCTTTTTATTTGATTTTATAAAACAGATCAATTTTAAAAGTTCCCTTTTTAAAATTTGTTTTTACAGAACAGATTATTCTGTAGCCACCAGAGAAGGATTTAACCCTGATTAATAGATCCAGGACCACACGCCTGAGTGAACAAGCTTTTGCAAGCCAATCAATCAATGTTGGCTGTCACTTCTTAAATCAGCCACTCAGGGACAGATGTTTTCCTATAAATACATCTCAGAGCACCAACCCAACCAATCAACAACAAGCTCACTGAAGATTTGAATAGATCCATCCCATGCCTCTACAGATGATGTAACCCTTATACCTCAGAAAGGCCTCCAATCCCTCATCTCCAAGCTTCCCACAAACCCCACATACTAATCAGTACTCTGCTCTGTTTGGTGGGACTATGCCTGGTCTTTATTGCTCTGCCTTGTATGATAGGCAAAAGGTTTAGCTTTATCATTTTATTTCAGATGTCAAGTGGTGGTATCCTCATTCTTTGACAATACCTAAAGAGAGCATCACGGCTATTAACAGCTGCATGAAGTAACAGCCAACGGGAACAAACAAATGCATTAGAAAGTAACTTTCTTCACAAAGCACCCTGGATTAGACAGGTTCTCACAGAGACCAGATCTCTCTGCTCATCCCACTTACAGCTCTCGGGGGAGAAGGACGTGTGCCTACAACATGAGCTGTGACTATTTTCTCAATGATGCATATCAGGCCAGAGAGAGACCAACAGTATGTCATAATGAACACTCAAGTCTCCACCTCTGAGTAGGAACTCTCAGGTGTAGCTGTATTATGAGTAGCCCTCACCTCAGGGAAACAGCTCTGATGACAGGACGGGTGGCTCACTCACCCATCATCTTGTCTCCCAGGATCCACTGGAAGGAATGAATCACCATGTCTTTGCACATGTGTTGGCTTCTCTGTGGTAGCAGTGGGAAGCCTCCTCTGTCACCTCACCATATCACATTTTGTTTTTATTTTTCCCACTTCTCTTTTATTAATTGCATGGTGGGTATTCAGTAACTGTCAAGTAGGCCACCCTCCTGCTTGATGCCTTGATATTGTCTTTTTGCATATCCTAAACTCCTATTTTCCCACCTTTATTTCAATTCAGTTGCCTGTACTCTGGTCTTGAATACTGCAGAGATATAACAGTTTCTGCCTGCTCCATTTGGTAGTGTCATATTGGCTGCCCTGTGTCAGTCTCTTTCAATTTTATCTTTGACTTCCAGTTATGGTAGTGTAAGGTCCTGGCAGTGATCTCTCTAAGGTCAGGAACCACACCTCATACCACCTATTTTGTCAAGCACATCCCACCACATTTTTTCCAAGTTCCAACCTGCTCAGGATAAAGAACTCAGAGTCAAACACTTACGGTTTTTATATTCATTCCAGGTCCAGGTTGGGATAAAGCAGGACTCATTGAACACTATGGGTTCCAAGGCTATGGCTATAGTTCCCACATGTTTGTTGACTGGAGCAGGCTTGGACAGTTTGATCATCATCAGGTCATTTTCCAGAGTTTGTGCATCAAAGTCAGGGTGGGGCACAGTCAATGAGTAATTTCGTATCTGCTCCTTCTTATTTTTGGCACTGGGTTGATAAACTCTCAGTCGGATTTTAACACTTTGGAAGAAAGAGGGCAGGGAGATGAGAGAGAAGAGAGTCATAGAACGTCAGACTACCAGAAATGCCCCAGGCCGTCTTCTCCAATCATCTTAATTTTATTTCTTAACCTGAGAACTAAAGTAGCCTGCTCTTGTCTGAAAAATAATAAACCTAGTTTATGGGATTGTTGTATTAGAGACATGCATTGGTAAAACATGGTGTCTGGCACCTAAAACACATCAGTGGAGTCTAGTTATTATTATTAAGATTCAGATCATCTGAACTAGCAAGTACTAGAGCTGGCACTGCCATCTGTTATTCCAGAGCTCCTTGTCTATACTATGCTGCCTCAAGCAACTCTTGAGCAAGCATGTAGTACCCACGGTTTCTGAGTATTCTTAAGCCTGTTCCAGCTCTTCTCAGGCCCGTAGCATTTGTATCTGCCATGTGTTGCCTACATTGATCTTAGACTTGAAAGACTATTAGTCATCTGTCAGGACTCCCAGTTCCCATTTTGCATTATATTCCCTGGGAAAATTCAGACCCACCCACCTCCATCACCAGGAGTCCAGGCATGCAAGATTTACAAGAGCTATTTCCTGCCAAAAGCAGTGCATGCGTTAGATGTGGATGAGAGAAAGAATACCTGATTTTCCCATGCCTATTCTGAGAGGACTTGCACAGTATCTCCTACGTATTTCCCATGTTGCACAGAGCAGGGGTTCAATCCGTGTTGAACTGAACTGTTTTGAACACCCCGATGGCTGAGAGTTGCAAGTTTGATATGACCGTTGAATGCACCTTAAACTCTGAGTGGGTCCTACTCACACAACAGTCTCACGCATGGCAGAAACCCTGAGATTTGCAAGGGATAGCTATTTTGTACAGCATCTCTTTATTGTTCTACAGTTACCCGCATGACATGGCTTTTACCTAACTCTTCAACCTCATCCTAGGATCATTTCCCTACTCAGCCAACACTGATTTCCCAGTTTGCCAAATACCCTAAAATCTTTGCTACTTCAGGGACTATCTGAATATTGTTCCCTCGGCCTGGAGTGTCCCCCAGGCTTTCTTCATTTGGCTGTCTCCTTCTCTTCCCATTGGTCTCACCTCTTAAGGAGGATGAATATGACCACCGTAACTGAAGTAGACTCGCTTCATCCCCATGTGTTACAGCTTGCCATTCTTTTTGTGCTTTACCTTTAGCCGCTTGTTTGTTTTGCTTACTCCTTCTACCGGAATATAAGCTCCGTGAGGAAAAACTTATTCCCACCTCGTCCCCTCACCGTTTTCTCAGTATATTAAGCAGCCCTTACTATATAGTAAATGTTTAGCAAATACATATTGACAAATGAATATTATTTACTCCCCATGAGGGTCTTCTGACGTCTTCCTATTGATCTCCTCTTAAACTGCCCAAATGTGTATTCTATTCCCCATTTGGAAGAAGATTCTCTCTTTTCCTGGGCCTTCTAATTTCCTTAAAAACTTGCTGGGATGCTTCACCAGACCTACTTTCATTCGAATAGACCCATCCCAGCTCCCAAGAGCAAAGGTGTACTTACGGCAGCGGGCAGTGAGCGGCCGTCAGCACCCAGTCGGGGTGAATGAGAGACCCCACGCAGGGTTCTGGGCTGGACTGCAGATAGGCCATATAAGGAATATTAAAATCTTCTTCTAATTCCAAGTCATCTTTAGGATTTTGGGGAAATTTGGACAGAAGGGCTCCTGGAGAATGAAGGGGTCATAGGTGGAAAGAGAGACAAAGAGATTGAAAGGCTAGAACTGACCAGCGTAGTTTTCTTTAACCCAAGGTTTTCAAAGATACTATTGATGTCTTCCATTTATTTTTAATGTTTTTTAAAACTAGAGGAAATCATGCATGTAACCTAAGCTATATACAGTAAGAGAACTGACACACATCTTTGCTGAGTCGGAATTACAGTAAAGTTCTGTGAAACTAATACATGGGCTCATCCCACACTGATCAGAAACTCTGAATGGCAGTGCTATTAAATATACGTTACAAAAATGAAAAAGATAAATGGCAATTTTAAAAACATTCTTTTTTAAAATGAACTTTTGTCAAGAATGGGGATAAAAAATTAAATACTGCCTGAGTTTGGTGGTACAGGGAGTGGAAAAGCTTGGGCCTTCCAGAGCCCTGACCTGCCCTCCTCCTTTCCCGGCCCACATCCTCTAACTTTCGTCTGCGCAGGGAAAGGGAGGTGTAGCTGTGCAGGAAAAGTGGCAGCCTAGGAAATCACATGCTCGAGAGCTTGATGAGAGGGTCGCAGGAAAGGGTAGGGAATTGGTAGTGAGTGTGTCCTGACAGGTTCACAGACACCAGAGGGGCTTAGAGATCATGTGGACGGGATATGATGTGCATTGAGAGTGGTTGCTTTTGTTTCCTTCAACAGTTAATTTTCTAAAAGCCCTTCACTTCCCATGTCCTTAACTGTGGCTGGTCATTTCTCTTTCCAAATCTTAATACCCTTCCCTGGTTCTCACCCTAGACAGAGACAAATCCCCAAACTCTCACCGGCTACACTCATGAGAGCGAAGATGAGATAGCCCTTCATGGCAGGCTGTGATCTCGCCAGCTGCAGACAAGTTGATCAAGCTGTAAACTGTCCCAATCTTTAGTCCAAGTGTCCTTGGCAATAGCAGCTGTGGGTGAAACACTAATTGTGGAGTGAGGAGAGACACAAGGATCTTAGAACAGTCTTCAAACTAGTCCTTATTAAGACTCAATTATGTCAATTATGTAAGACATCAGTGTGATCTGTCTCTGATGTGAGTGAAAGAGGGAAAGGCAGTAGTCAAGGTCCTGGTGCCTCCTGTCTGATCCTACAAATCTCCCCAGGAACCATTATGTACCTGCTGGCATTTCCCTCCCCTCTCTGTGACATAGGCTTTCTTTGTTGTCTCTTCCTCCCCCTGTGACTTAAACCCCACTCCTTGCCCTCCCCTGCCACCTCCCTTCTTCCAAAGAGTCCCTCTGCTATTCCCAGATACTCACAGAACATTGGGGTATGAAATGTATTTAATAAATCCTGGTTTTTTTTATCTCATTCATTTTAATGATGAGGAAGTCGTGACCCTCTTGGAAGTTAGTGGCAAAGTCAGCATTCAGAACTGAGTCTCTGGATTCCCTGTGACAAGGTTGAACTTTACCTGAGCTCTGTACTTCCAGAAAAGAGCCACGGTTAAGAAATTCCACCTCCCCTTTGTGTTCTAGGAAATTAATTACCACAGAGAACCACCCTTCCCGTGTGACTTAGGCAGGACTCTCTGTCCACTCTTTCTCCTGACTCCCAGAAGACTTTGGATGGCTCCCCTGTTTACTGGTGACAGGTTGAACCCAGGCCTTTCCTCTTTTTCCCGCACCTGCTGACAAGGACAGACGTGAACCCTCCAACTCCCCGTTCTTTGTTTCACGGATGATTAGAATTAGCATGGTTTGTCTTCTTGAAACTAGCTACACTCAGAAATAAACGTTACCTATTTAGCCAACTGACTGAGACTCCCTGATTTCAAAACAACCCCAACTGTAAATCTCCCCACGTATAACTTGTTTGTTCCTCCCTATAAAAGTCTGGGGAAAACCCCCCCTGTCAAGATATTATAATTTTCAGATCTAAGATGCTCTCCTATTGGAATGATCTGAATTAAAACTAAGTTCTTACTCGTTTGATTTTGGTCTTTTGCACCTGTTACTCTTTCCAAATCTACCACATTCCTTTTTTATAAGTTAACCTTACATTTTAACTTCCTGATTTTCGCCAAGAGATAGTTACTAAATAGCAGTTCAGTCCCACATTTTATAAAGAGTAGATTGAACAAATGCAAAACATACAGGACTGAACTGGCCATTGTCAGAGTAATTAAAAAGCTGATCAGTTATAGGAGTCCAAAAAAATAACATTCCTCTATCTGTAAAAACTACATGTGAACTTAGTTCTCCTAAAATTTAATTATTAACTTAAAACATGTCATCTGGATGTTCCCTAGTCCTCTAAATTTTTGGCGCTAACATTTCTTTAGTATCCAAAGTTTTAAATATATTAATAATTATAATATTAAAGTCAGCATTTATTGAGATTTTACCACGTACTAAACACTATGTTATATGTCCTCTATGTGTAACCCAGTTTATCCTTCATAACAGATTTATAAATTAAATATCATTATTATTCTCTTTCTACTAATAAGAAAGCTGAAGCTCTTTAAGGTTAAAAATCTTGCTCACAATCACAGAGCTTGAAACCCTCAACCCATGACATTTCCGGAAGTCTTTCCAAAGGTTTACCCGGTAGAAATGGGACTTATTTCTGTTAGTTTCTCTAGTCTGCTTCATCCCAGCAGTCAAAAACAGCTGCATCCACTTCATGTCTCAATGCACCACCAAGCCAACACTGGGTGCACCCCAGGCCAGTGTTGAAGCTCATATAGCCATTATTTTGATTCATTCTCCAAACCAGGTTCAACACTAAAACACGATAGTAAAAGTAAAAGTTGTTCTGGATATTCATTCCACAGGAAACTGAAGAAGAGAATTTGTGTTGTATACTGTACAGTAGAATTTTATAAAGATCTATCTTTAAAAAAATTTTTTTTTTTTTTTTTTTTTTCGAGACAGAATCTTGCTCTCTTGCCTGGGCTATAGTGCCGTGGCATCAGCCTAGCTCACAGCAACCTCAAACTCCTGGGCTCAAGCAATCCTCCTGCCTCAGCCTCCTGAGTAGCTGGGACTACAGGCATGTGCCACCATGCCTGGCTGATTTTTTCTGTTTTTGGTAGAGACGGGGTCTCGCTCTTGCTCAGGCTGGTCTCCAACTCTTGAGTTCAAGCGATTCTCCTGCTTTGGCCTCCCAGAGTGCTAGGGTTACAGGTGTGAGCCACCGCCTGGCCTATCTTAGCTCTTTGTGAAAGTTCTTCCCTTAGGCTTATCCTACCTTACTTCTTCTCTTGCTCTACTTTTCTAATCTCTCTCTCTCCCCCTCTTTAAGGATTATTGTCCTCACCAATTAGATCTGCCCTTCAGTTTGTCCGTCTCACTCAGTAAAACAAAAGCAGTTAGCTGTTCCTGGGGAGGAAATAACTCTCCCATCACAAGTGGTTTATGAAGGTATTGATCAAACAAAAATGTGAATGGTTTAGGTTGAAGGAAGGGGGTTAAATTCCACAGCTAACGACAACAACAAAAAGAAACCTTTAAAAATATTATTATGACTTTTTCCAGATGAAATGAGGGAGAGTTTTTTTAATAACACATGTAAAATGAATGTAAAAATAGGGAGACCATGTGAAGCTTTACTGAAGACAATTTGTTGTTCCTAGACATGGCACTAAGTGGCACTTTCCCTTTTGAGGACTAAATAACCCTATTAGTTAAACAGGAACAAGAAATGAAAAGGATTAGGGAGAGAGGGATTAGGGAAAAGGGATTAGGGAGAGAGTTTTTCATTTAAAAACTGCAATTGTTGAGTTCAAAGAATTGATCATCCAAAATGGCAAGTGTGAAGGTGAAATGGGGAAGCCGTAAAGAAACTTCTACGATAGTGCAACTGGCAGGCATAACGTTGGAGCGGGTGTCTTTCTTTCCAAGTGAGCTCTTCCTGTGAACGAAGATGCAGGAAAAGCTCCTGTGGAAGAGGCAATTGTGCAGAGAGGAAATTTAGGGGCTCAGGAGGAGTTTCTCAGAAATATGCACATGCTTTTCCTTCCATGTGTGATAGAAAATGCAGTGGGTTGATGAGGGGAGCCTCTGACACACCAGGATAGAAGTCCCGTGACTCCCAGGACTTTCCTTTCCTTTTATAATCCTTTTTTAAAAAATATAGATATAGAGCATGGATGTTATGAGAAATGACCGCAATGCAAAATTATGTAAGTCATGAAATCTCCCCTTATAAATGAAAACAAAACCAACTTTTCATAAGCTCATCAGATCATATGGCTTTATTTTCTATTTGGAAAACAGTCTGCTTACTGCTATCAGATCTTTGAGTTAGAAAGAAGCTGGCCTTGGGGGACATCTGTGGTCTTAGACTGGTCTCTGCCATGGGTCCCTCCTAGTATGACAAAAGTCAGAAGCAGAGCTGATAAAAGCTAAGAACATTGACCACAGAAATGGGGCTGGTCAGTTGAAAAGGGAACATAGATTACCCATATGGACATGTCTTTAATAATAAGATTAGTTAACTGTTAACTAATTAAGGTTTCATATGTGAACTGTGTGTATAAAATCACAGTGGACCTTTGAGATAATGTTAGAGGACATATATAACTATCAGATTAGTTTTGATGAAAGAATTTGTGTCTTATGGTGAGAAGATGAGATCAGTTTGTGAGGATAAAATGAGTTGATTTATTCTGTAGGAGTTGGGAACTTATTTAAAAAATGGAGAAACAAAGGGATCATTGAAAACCACGATTCTCTCAAGATGTCTGGAAATCCTTTAGCTTGTGGAAATAGAAAGTGATTAGACTGAGCTGTTCAGAACAAATGAATATCTCTAAGAATAAAGAATTTTATGTTTATATTCCTTGAACAAATTGCCTTCTTAATTAACTTTGAAAAGTAAGAATAAAATAATACTAAGATAGTAAATATTTTTATTTTTCAAAGACCTTTTAAAATTTAATTTCAATACTAAAGATGCTTGCCATAAAAGATAAATTATGAGAATGGTTTGCATTAAAAGAATTAATTAAATAAGATTTTTAGGGGAAAAGAGGTTTGTATTTATCTTATTAAAGAAAATTTTCTTAGATAAATTGAGCCTGAGCACATGTTGAAGTTCATTGCTTGTTAACAAGAGAACTAATAACTGAATTATGGAATGTACCAATCCGAAGTAAAGTTACTTCTAACCGGCTTATAGATCCTATATGAATATACATATATATATATATTTTTTAAAGAAGTAGCTGAGCTTCTAATGAAGATATTGCTTACTTTTACATAGTATGAAAGGTCATAACCATGGAGTTGACAGTTGAGAGTTATCTTCTCAGTTTCCACAAGTAAAAGACAAATAAATTTATCTGTGACTACAATTAGATATAACAAGCCAAAAAGCCTTGTCTCTATGCAGCTGTCTCTAATATCAGATTGTGATATCTTTATATTTCCTTGTTTTTGCTACAGAGATATGGAGTCCACTGAATCATGAATTGGGAATTTATTTACAGTAAATATATTTCTGTGAGAAACATCTCCTCTGACCCTTCCAAGTGTCTTTTTATTTTAAACTATGGTATGTTTTCATAGGTCTTTTGATGTTTTTCTTTGATGATATTTTACAAACAGATCTATGCTTCCCAATTATCCATCCTTTATTCACCTTGATTTTCTTGTGTCATATGCATTTATTGGCATTATGATAGAATCTTTATTGACTTATTGTCTGTTTATCAAACAGATTGCATAAACCATGGAAGAAGAATATTGGCTGTTTTCTTCACTGCTTTAGTGCATGAAACAGAGTCAGGAATACAATAGGCTCTCAATAAGTATTTGTTGAATAAGTAATTAGGTAGATGAAAAGAATAGTTGTATTATCTCTACTGAAGCATATACCATATTTATTTAATCAATCCTCTATTCATGTTTATTTGAGTTGTTTCTGATTTTTCGGGGTTATATAGACAATGTATCAATAAACATATTGATTACTTTAGTGGAGATTGTGCTTACCTTTTTAGCATCTATTTCTCCTTCTCTTGATAACTAATCTTATTAATTCAGCTAACCAAACATACACAAAGTAAGTCATGTTTATTGCAGAATAAAAAGTCCACCCTTAGCTCTGAAGGTATGCCATGTAACTTAATTGTAAACTAATGAGCATAATCCCATAGGATTAATGGTTCATGAGTGTGGAAGTGAACACATTAAGTTAAGAAGACACTCTTATATGTATGCTGTGAGCTTTTGTGACAGAGCCTTCAATTCTTCTGGGAACAGCTTTCTTTATCTCCTTCCCTAGATACAGACAAGGGAGAACATAGCTCTGAGGGCCATTTTGTGATCACAAGGCTTCTTCCTTATATTAAAGATGACAGTAATGAAGACAGCAAGCAGAGGCAGAAATAAATTGGGTTCTTGATAACATTTTTGAATTGCTGAATTAAACTATCCTTGAAGCCTTCCCTACTCCTAAGCTTTCATGTGTGCGTTTTTAAAAATGCTATGAGTTGGATATTCTGTTCCTTGCAACTAAATGACTCCTAAGAGATGTGTTCACATCTATACATTTTTCGTATTTAAATGTATATTTCAATAGAGTAAACTCTTTAGAGTTAAGTTGCTGAGTAAAAGGGCAAACAGAATTTACATATTAATATAAATTTACAAATTGTGATTGACAAAGGAGATTGACAAAGGACAAAGATTGACAAAGGAGCTTTTGGATGACATAAAAAATAAAACATGAAAAAATGCTCAACATCTGTAATCACCAGGGAAATGCAAATCAAAACCACAAGGAGATATCACTAACTCCAGTGAGAATGGTTTTTATCAAAAAGTCCCAAAACAACAAATGTTGGCATGGACGCGGAGAGATAGGAACACTCATACACTGCTGGTGGGACTGCAAACTAGTACAATCTCTATGGAAAGTAGTATGGAGATACCTCGAAGAACGAAAAGTAGAACTACCATTTGATCGAGCAATCCCTTTAGTGGGTATTTACCCAAAGGAAAAAAAGACAATCTATAAAAAAGACATCTGCACTTGAACGTTTATAGCAGCTCAAGTCGCAATTGCAAAGATGTGGGAACAACCCAAATGCCCATCAATCCATGAGTGGATTGATAAAATGTGGTATATCTCTCTTGGAAAACATGAAAGATCTTGGAGAACTGGAACATACAGGTAGGTGAAATCCTAGAAAATACAGGAAACCTGTGATTTTTAAATATTTCTACATCTAAAGGTTTCCCTTATCTAGTCTCACAGAATTTCATATGGATTAAAGAAAAAGACAGGGAGAGCACTCTGTTACAGCAGCAGCAGCAATGCATCGGGAATAAGGACACCTTGAGTTTTATCTTGGCTTTACTAGGTACTGTTTGAATGATTTTGGATAATTGATTTTGACTTTCTGCCTTTTAGTGTCTTTATCTGTAATAACTTATAAATATATGTTCTACCATAAAAATGCATGATCAAATTTGTATTGTAGCCAAATCTTACAAGAAAATTTATATTAGTTATTAATACAGTGCCTAATAATTATTTTATTTATAAAAAAGTGATGGTAACAGCCACCTCTAACCTTGTTCCCTTTTCTATCCTCAATATCTCATACAGAGTTTGGAATGTAGTAGGTGATCAGTAAATTTATATTGATTAGGTTGAATGAATGACTAAATAACCTTTTACATTTTCTCAATATAATAGTACAACTCTACGTCCACCTTCTTATTTAACAGCTAGTTTCTAGAGAAAGTTCGCCAATATGAAGCAAGGACCATTCTTGGACAGATGTAGTGCAGGACGAATGTGTTTATTTAGGTACTGTTTTCAGACATAGAAGAATGTGAAGCTGTATAACAGGAGACAAGACATGAAGAGATAAAGGTGTCTAATTGGCAGCGATGGTCTGTTCAATCCAATCCACGTAGTTGCAGACCTTGGTGTAGACACCAGGTTTGCCTTTCAGAGCACAGCCATAGCCCCAGGAGACGATGCCCTGGAGTTCTCCATTGCAGACCACGGGGCCTCCAGAGTCACCCTGAGCAAGGGAGAAGAGACCATAAGAGCTCTTATTTATGCCCAGATGGGAGAATAGGGTGCAAGATGTTCCTCCACTGTGCTGGGGCTATTTTCCTAGTCTGACTATCCTCTATGAAGCACTTTCTCTTCCTCTGGAAATTCAGCCCTCAATTTATTTACACTACCCCAATCTTTCTCCTCTCTCCTTCTAGCCTCTCCTTTTTCCTACTAGGCCAATTGGGCCAAGGAGAGGTGAGGACTGGAGAGTTTCAATGCTGCCCAACCAGCTCTGTTCCTTTGGCTGGGGTTCCCTGCCACCATTTGCCTCCATAGCGGGTACCTGGATGTCCTGTTTGCACACCATCTTCTGAGTATCTTTTTACTCTTAACACCGGCCGTCAATATCACAAAAATAAAATTTATAATTTGTCCCAAAGCTACCCCTCACCCATCACAATCAGTCCCAGGGACATTATTACATCTTCTGTGTGTCAAGAAAGAGGAACTATGGTGGAAAAGAATGAGACTGAGCTGGATGGAGGGGGAGGAGCACAAAGACACTAACCTGGCAAGAGTCCTTTCCACCCTCTGTGAAGCCCACGCAGATCATATTGCTAGTAATCTGGCCTGGGTAGGAGCTGCTGCAGGTGCTGGCAGAGAGGATGGGAGCCTTCAGACACTGCAGTACATCAGGGTAGTTCTCTGTTGAGTGCAAGAATGCAAATGGAAGATTACCAACAGGGTTCCTGGAAATTCATTCTCAACATCTCTCCCTTCTTTCCCATGCTCCCACTCTTTTTCTCAATTTGCCAATGACTCCTAGTTTTGGAGGACAACTTTTTTTATAAAGTTTTCCAAATAGTTCTAATCAAAGAGTTGTTCTTTCTCTGACACTAGTATCATGACCACAAATCTTACACCTAGAGACTATTGGTCAAGTGGCTATATGCTTCCGGCAGTGCCAAATCCCTTAGCCTCTGTTCTGTTTACCTCCTCAGTTTCTAGTTGTCTGTACATCACTAATCACACTTTAATTAAATACTTTGACATCTTTATAACAGTTCGTTTTTGTTGTGTCCTATGCATGGTCCCAGCAAAGGAATCTTCCTCTTTTCAGTTCGTATATTCTGAGACTCCATATATCCAAAAACTATCCTCTGGGAACCACATCTTGAGTGAGAATTTGGATCAACTGACCATCAACATGCCTTTCACCTCTAACATCCTCAGACTTGGTACTTCAGTTCCCGGTGACACTTACCACCATTGCTCAGGGTGTTGCCCCAGCCAGAGATGAGGCACTCAGTACCAGCGGATGCACAGGATGTTGGCAGAGAGACTGAGGACACTTGAGAGGTGATCTTGGCTTTTGAGCTCAGCTTAATTAGCATAATATCATTATCCAGGGTAGATGATTTATATTTGGGGTGAGTGATGCTCTTGGCAGCATTAATGAATTGCTCATTGCCCTCAGTGACTTCAATGTTGTGTTCTCCCAGACGCACCTGGATTTGGCTGGATTAAAGGATACAAGTTCTCTAAGTATCCAATTTGAGCTTCTTCCTTTTCTCCTGACCTCATTCATGAGCATAAACACAGACACCATCGTCTTCAAGCATTCACTCTCACAGGTAATTTTGCACTTAAGGTACCATTGTGCACTGTCACGCATGGCACAGGTTAGCATATTCCCCAGGGAAGTGTTCCTGCAAGTACAGACCCAGCCTGCCGTCTTGTTACAATAGTAAGAAATAGGAATGGGAACCCAATGACCCCAATGAAACAGCTCCAGATAAAAAGGGAATTGGTGGAGACTGAGCAGCACTTGTCATTTTCTACTGGTTGAGATCACCAATTATCATAGGGAGGTGAGGCAGGACTCAGAGATTTGGCAGAATATTAAGAGAGCAGAATGAATCATGCTTATTTTTTGTGTTGCATAGGAAATTTTATGCATTTTATTACCTCCATATGCCATTTTTCCTGGTTAAGCTGTAATAATCAGGACTGATTCATGTGTAAAACTATTTTTATGGTTACTTCACCACTCACTATTTCCCTTCCATGCTTTGAATACCACCATTTGGGAAGACATCAGGAAACTCTAAAGGGTACCTCTCCATGCAAAAGTCCCTTGGTACATCATAAGATGCTTGAGACAATAAAGTGTCTCTTAAGAGCTGAATGCCTCACCCCACAAGCATAACTCCATGCATTACCCTGATTGTACTTTGGCAGGGCTAGAGGATAAGTTGATCTTAGAGCATGTGAAGGTGAAAATTGGTCACTTACGACTTGTAGCAGTGAGCTGCGGACACCACCCACTGTTCGTTGATGAGGGAGCCGCCGCAGAAGTGGTAGCCGGAGTACAAGGATGCCTGGTAGGGGACAGAACCCTCCTGACAGGTGTAGCCCCCGACGATTTTGTCATCGTCATCATTGTTAGTGGGGAAAGCAACTGATAGGAAAAAGTTGGAAACTGTCTGTTAATCAGATCCATCTTGGAATTTCTACACCACCATGAAGTTTTTGCAGATTAACCAGAGAAGAGCAGATAATGTTCTTTTGTCTCACATAATTAGGAAATGGTGGTTTTAGGTAATTTTTTGGAAAAATCTATTATTCCATACGTTTAGCATGTACTTCACATATGCCATTATCAGTACATAATTTTTAATTTATGCTTTAAATTTGACAAATACATTCTTTTTTAATGTACCATTCACACACACACACACACACACACACACACACACACACGCACTCACAAAGATCAGAGGGTCTTTACACAATAAATGCCATTACCTGAGGATATAAAGACCACTGAAGACCACTACTCAAGGTTATAAAGAATAATTGTTACAGAGAGCCCTGCTAAGCAGCCATGCAATTAGGTGTGAAGGTTTGCAGAAATCATGCTGTTTGGTTGGTGGTTGGTGGGACATTGGTATGGGATAGATATCCCCAGGAGGTGACAGAAAGGAAGCTTTTAGAAGCCACCTGAGAATGTTCTGGCCTGCAAGGCAATGGACAATATTGTCCTTTTGCACTCCCAATTTCTCTCCTTGGTTCTAACCTAAAAAATTTATAAACATTTGGAACATTATAAGATTTCCCTCTCCAATGTTTCCTTTTATCCCAATTATCTTTCCAACATGTATCAATTTATTCAGCATTGTGAAGTCTGCCCCACTGATGTATTAAGATTTCTTGAAGCTCCAAAAGTATGTGGCTATATGAGCCCTATTGTTCAAAAATTTTAAAATAATTTCAGGAAACAATTTTCCAGGTGTGTAGACAGTTGTATTGAATTTATAACTGCCCAATTTGGGAAAATTTAGTATTATGTTTTAGCAGTAGAAAATTTAATAGCGTAAAAGTAGAAATAGTCACTTCTCTATTAATATTTTTCATGATTGAATGATATGTTATTATATTTTACACCATAGAGATTTCATTGGCAAAGATGTCATTAAAAAAAAAAAAACACTGCCCATAGCTTTTATTCATGAGAAATTAAATATCTTTGCTGTTAAGACTCCTTGACTTTAAATCACTCACCCTTTAGTATAGAAGAGACTCAGGCTCTGGCACCAACAGCCTCTTCAGTGAGCACAAGATTAATTCCAGTTATTAAGTCCAAATTCTTAGAAAGTTAGAGATAAACAATTCCATAATGTGCACTACCCTTTCCTTTTCTCTCCTATTTCTTAAATTCTAACTGGAAGTTGAGAGCAAGTTCTGCTTCTTTATGTTTTCTACCCTGATCATTCCTGCTCATTGTGATTTTTCTCCAAGAAGTGATATTCAATTATTAAGAAACATAAGTGCTATACATTACACTATTGCTTCAACATTTTAAGTTTCTCGAGTACAGAGACCAGATTTGACATTCATTGTTGTCTTCCAGAGTACAAAGTGCAAACTTAAATAGATAATAGATGGCTAATGATTCACTTATTCAAAGACTCACCAGCAGCTCCCAGGAAAGCGAGGAAGATGAAGGACTTCATGGTTGCTCACTGGGGAATGCGATGAAGGTTTTTCATCGACAGGTATTTATACCTCCAGATTTGTCTTTAACACCCATGGCCACAGGTGCCAGAAAAGTGATTTCACTGGAAACTCACAAATCTAAATTTAGAATTCAATTTTGTGACAGATAGAAGATAACTCAGTATTAAACATCGACATCTGTTCACTTTTCCAGAAGGTTATGGGAATGGAAGTAACAAACCCACCTGTTGGGAAATTTTCCTTATGATAGGAAAGTAAGTTGGAATAAAATCATAGGACAGAGCTACAGGTGTCCTGATTCCCAGACAAAAGTCTTAGGTACCTGGTTGTTTCAACTGTGAACTTTTATCCGAAGGACTATCTTGATCCATGCACCCTTATTGTTCAATTGACACAGGCTCTTTCACAATTATATATTAATACTTAGAATACCCCTGACATACAGTAAGCTTTAAATAAATGTAACTTACCATTCTTTTACTTTCCTCTTTTATTGGTTATAATTTTAATTAAGAAAAATTTTCTTTTTCTCAGGGAAACAAGTTGTTCCTGGGAATAATAAAAAGTTAACATGGATATACAAGACCAGCTCTACCATAAGACAAAGTATAATACTTTGCCCATATTAATTTAGCAATCCTCATAACAACCACACAAGACACCTATTATAATCTCCACATTACCTATAGGAAAATTAAGGCACACAAAAGTATAGGGGAGTTGACCAGAATCTCACAGCAAGTACATGGGTAGAATCAGGATTCCAACCCAGGAAATCTGGTTTCAGCGTCAGAAGGAGTTTTGCTTCTAAGGCTATCTCCTTAAGAAAATGTCTTTCTGTTACTATGCAACACTTCCCCTAGTCGGTTGACCACAATTTGGATACAAAGATAATACAGAATTCTTGGCCAATGATGACACAACTGAGGTTTATAGAGTGCCTACCGTGTGTCAGGCACGGGGAGGGGTTGATATGCATCAACGCATTCAGTCCTCACAAACAGCACTACAAGTGTTGTGCCACAATTTTCACCATTTTACAGATGTGGAGGAGGAAGCTTAGAGAAGTCAAATGTTTTGCTCAAAGTTTCATTGCTATTAAGTGATCAATCCAGAGTTCAAACTCAAGCAGCCTCACTTTGAGGTCCACAGTCTATCTCAATTGTGATGCCATAAACATAATAAGGAAGAACAGTCTGAACTCCACCAAAGTAGGGCTAACTCCTCCGAGGATTATTGAGAATTTTGGAAAACCCAAGAAATGGGTTCCTGGAGCAGGAATTGTCAGAATTAATGGGGCAAGGCAGAAGTAGCAAGAGTGAGTGAATCTCAATGAGCAGTAACCCCTGGCTAGCTAGAGCCAGAGTCTACACCCAAACAACCTATGTGAAATAGCCTTCCAGGGGTGTTATTTCTGCTCAAGCAAATTATTGCTACTGAAGTAGTTTCTCTTTCTTTTACATTTGAAATTTTGCTGCTCTCAAGATGACTTACTCAAAGGCAGAGTTTCTCAACCTTGGGCCTATTGACATTTTGGGCCACTTAATTCTTTGTTGTGGACAACTGTCCTGTGTTTTGTAGGATGTTTATCAGCATCTCTGGCCTCTACAGCAAAATAGCAATACCTACTTCCCCGAGTTGGGACAAACAAAAACGTCTGCAGACATTGCCACATGTCCCCAGAAGACAAACTCATGCCCAGTTGAGAACCACAGCTCTACAGGGGAAAGAAGGGCGAAGGGGCCTTGCTTCTAAGGCTGTTGTCTTAAGAAAGTGCCTTGAGCTTTGGAACAATATAGGCACTCAATGACTACTGGATGAATGGCACCCAAGGCAGGAACTTGCCTTTAATGCATCCCTTAGAATTAGGAAACATTAAGGAGTAAGGAGGGGGGCAGTGCCCAGAATGGGGAAGGGGGAGTCTTTTCATCCTGTTCAATGTCTGTCATTGCTGTTACCTCCACCTGAGAGATATTAGAAGTTGTATGACTCTACATCACCCCTGGAGCTTTCCCAGAGCCTCATCAGAGACCTGGGCCTATATGAAAAACACAGTATCTTAGAGCAGAACTTTTCATAATAATTGGCTCATGTAGTGCTACGCCCTAGAGAGCGTCCTCAGGTGTGCCCAGGGATTTATCACATGGATTCCTTCCAGGAGGGAAAGAGTCAGGGTTGATAGGGATCAGGGGATGGGAGTTGTCATCTAGGATCAATGGCAATTTTCCCCCTTAAAAAACCTGAGACAAAGGAAGGCTGGAGTGATAGTTCTCCAGTAACATAAAGTAGTAGTGGGCATGTGGGCGAAACTGCTAAGTGACGGTTTCCTGACTTCAGTCATTTCCATACCCCTCACACTTGTCTGCAAGTAAACCACTTACATTTTGACTTTTAAATAGACTTCTTTTTCTTAGTCTCTTCTTAAGGAATAACATTGACATTTCATGTGTTGGTAGCTTGATATCTAATGCATATTAAAATGAATGAATACATGCTTCTCAAATAAAAATCATGATCTGAGTCCTGTCTAAAATCATGTTGAAGACTACTAATGGTGCATGTATTACACTTTGGGAAACATGATGCCAAGCAAATGTCTGGAAAACGAGAGTGGGAAAAGCCAAGGCTCACTGCTGCTGGTGGCTGCGGCGGTTGTCTGTGAGTGGAAGGGGCACGGAGCAGAGCAGATTAGGATGTTAAGTGAACGTTAGTAGGAGATTGCTCCCTATAGAAGAGGCCAGGTGAACACACGGTCAGTATGAGATGTCTCTGCATGTATGTATATATGTATGCATGTACCGGGGGTGAGCAAATCTGAAAAAAAAATATTCTTTTATTGTGTGGGAGCTTGGACCTATAAGATAGCCTGTACTTCTGAGATACTGTGAATCATTCTGTGATGTCTGACACTGGAAAACTGGGTTGCAAGTTACCAGACTCAAGGAAGTATTCTTGTCTGCATTTTTTGTGTGAGAAACTTCTGTTCTCAATGACGTCTCACTTATAATCAACACTGAACATGCTACAGTGTGTGTGGCCTCCTTCCTGAGCCTCCTCTCACAGTAACATCCCTGAGCTATGAGGAATGCCCATATTCCTTTTGCCCAGCAGAGTTAGTTGCTACCTGTACTTCTTTTCCTAATTTCAAACATATGGTGGCCCAGAGACATGTGTCTATATTTAATTAGTCTGTTTTCTCACCTCTCTTTCCCATGCTTATTGGCTTAGTGGCCTTGGAGGAGTATTTAACCTTGTGTCTAAATTGCATCTGATTGGGTTCCAGAAAATGTATTAACATTTGTATTGGCAAGAAGAAATGGCACCAGCCCCTAAAGGCAATTTCATGGTCTTTCCTTCCATGTGGACTCTATTTTTCTTTTTCCTTAGCTTCTCCAGCCACTTTCCTAGTTATCACATCATGTCACTAGTTACTGGGGCCATTCTGGCTTTTAACCACTTCAATGTGTAGGGAAAATTTTAAATAAAACTTCTTTCCTTAGAAAAAATGTACTAAGGAAGACTGAAAAAATGACGTAAACAATGAGGACAACAAAAGTATAAAAGGGAACGAGGTAAAAAGTACGTGCTTGTGAAATAACCTTGTTGCTAAGCTGAGCATCTACACTAAGCTGAATTTCTAATTTTTGCAACCTGTGGAAAATTAGTGTAGTGAATAGAATGTTCTTTGTCGGGAAAGTGAACCCTAGCACCAGGCACGGGTTTCCTTGAGAACCCTGCCCAAGGGTGGAATGAGTCTGGAGGCATTCAACTCTTGCTACATATGATTCTCTCCATAAAACTGCTTGCGGCAGTCAGCAAACTTTTCCAGTAAAGGGCCGGACAGCAGATGTTTTAGGCTTTGTCGGCAACGTGTCTCTGTCACAGCTACTCTGCTGTTGTGCCATGAGAGCGGTCATAAACAATATGAAAATGCACGAGTGTGGCCATGTTCCGGGACAACTTTATTTACTAAAAGAGGCTGCAGGCCATATTTTCCCCCCAGGCCATAGTTGGTGAACCCTGCTCTAGAAGATAGGGAAGAAACCATTTAAATATCTGATATCCAGACTTAAAATTGAACGGTAAGTCAGTTTCAATGATCAAGGATGGCTTGAAATAAAATTAGTAATCTTAGAAGAAATATCTCACTGTTTACTTCAAGTGCTTTAGGGAGAAAGGAAGAAGAGGGGGAACAGGAATTTAGGCTGGGAGATTGGAGTGACACAGAATAATGCAAGAAAAAAAGGAGAGTTTGGCAGAGATAGAAAATGTGCATCAATGTGTGAGAAACAATGAAATATTAGGAAAGAACATTTAAACTTGGTGAGTTCTAGATTCATTTTGCTACTTTTTTTCTTTGAGACAGGATCTCACTGTTACCTAGCTGAAGAGCAGTGGCACAATCATAGCTCACTGTACCCTTAAACTTCTCAGCTCAAATGAACCCCCTACCTCAGCCTCCTAAAATGCTGGGAGTGCAGGTGTGAACTACTACTGTGCCTGTAGATTTTAATATTCTCAGTATAAAATGAAAACCCACAGAAAATAATGGGCAAATAAGACACGTTAACACACTTTTTGATCCACATATTAAGGTTTTGTTAAGGTGTCAACATAACTTATGTCTCTGTCAGAACGCACTTCACATTGCTCTATCTTCCTGTTTGTGGCCAAATCCTATCTCCATCATATAAGATTAGGTAGTAAAACATACCTAACAAAAGAAAAATTAAGTTTTATCATCGAACTAGACAGATGTGTATACCTGAAACTCAGAGCTGTCAGAACAAGTGCAAATGCTACCGTGAAATAACTGCTAACTTGCCACTTCTGGGTGTGATGGGTTAGTGAGG